CCCGGGAGCGCAGCCGAGCGCACCGCAATTCCCTCTGCCGACTCCTTTGCGTGCCGGGATGCCGGACTACCGAAGAGCCGAGAAGTCCGTTCTCCCCCTTCTCGTCCTGCCTCGTCCGCTTCCCGAGTCGCCCCTGTTCCATCTCTCGTTTTACCTCGGTCGAAGGAAAAAACCCGTGACTTCTCTGCCGCGGTGACTCGGTCCGGACCAAACGCGGCCGGCGAGGCAGGACGGGTCGCAGTTCTCTCTCCCCTTCCCCGTGCGCTTAGCCCGTGGTGCATGGTGTAACACTGGCAAGACCCTGCAGACCCTCCCAGGCCCTGCCCTTCCGAAAGGCCTCTTCCCACCAGGCACTCGTACTTGTATCGGCTTTCCCCGCGGTAAGTGATCTGGAGTGTGGTCGGGAGCATCTCCCTCGTAGCAAACCTGTAGCTGGGACTCACCTGTGGTGCGGGCTCGTAGGCGATCCGCATGTTTCGTGCTCCTCGTGCCGCAGTTCCACCTGCAGCTTCACCGGCCGAACCGCAACCGGGGAGGGAAGGGGTTTCGCACGGCCGTAAAGGTGTTGAGCCGTTGAAACGTCACATTGGTTTTCCAGATGCCTTTCTGCTTCTGTCGATTTTAGACGATGTATCCTAGAGCCATAACTTTAACTGTGTCCTCAGATTGTAGGCGTGAGCTGCTATGAGCCAGTAGATGTGTAAAAGAACCTCTACCTAGCTGCTAGGGAGCCGGTCCGGGCTCCTTTCCGACACCCTTCCATCCGTAGTACGAACCAACCTTTCTTTGTATCAAGGAACCCGATTCTTCCACGATTGTACTCTCGACGTGTTGCCCCCGAAGTGCCGTATCCTCAGACCGTCGCTCCCGTGTCAAACTCCTTTTGGTTGAAGGCATGGGTTTGGTTTCAGCCTCTCCCCGTTTCCTTCCGGCCACAAACCTTCGCGTCTCATCCTGCAGGCTGCTGCCTTGGTTTTGGGTTTGTTTGCGCTGGGGTATTTTTTTCCTGTCTTTGGGACCTCGGAGGTCTGTGGGAAGCCAGAGCGGTCGTAACGCGCAGCGCTGGGGTTACGCTTCGCTCTCGCAGTGCTCCGACAGCCACTTCCAACGCGGCGGGGCAAACGGGTGGGCCTCTGGCAGGAC